GGTGTATGATAAGTGATGTATGATGAGTGGTGTATGATGAGTGGTGTCTGATGAGTGGTGTATGATGAGTGGTGTATGATGAGTGGTGTATGATGAGTGGTGTATGATGAGTGGTGATTGATGAGTGGTGTATGATGAGTGGTGTATGATAAGTGGTGTATGATGAGTGGTGTATGATAAGTGATGTATGATGAGTGGTGTATGATGAGTGGTGTATGATGAGTGGTGTTTGATGAGTGGTGTATGATGAGTGGTGTATGATAAGTGGTGTATGATGAGTGGTGTATGATGAGTGGTGTATGATGAGTGATGTAAATGTTCATAACACGGAAGTTTATCTAAACTTCCTTTGATTAAACTTTCAATTTCAACATAGCTTTCACATTTGTGTTGGGGATCTGAAGTAGCAAATTCCAGAGTATTTATATTGTATAGACACCTTTTGCTCGGCTGCCTTTGCTTGTTGCTTCTTGATGGCGCTGATGGTCGTGCGTCGCCGAGGCTTATCCACCTTGAACATTGCTGAGGCGTTGAGAGAAAGCGCCGGGATGCATCTCGTGCCGCCGGCCAATGTGGAGCCACCCTTGTCTGGGTGGGCCAAGATGGCTGAGATGCGCCCTGGGCAGCAACGAAGAGTTATCTTCTAGTCCAAGAAACACCCAGAACAGCTATATAAAACTTTCCAAAGGGTAGGTAGATGTCTAGTAGATGGGTGTGGGGCCCAGAATAGGGAGACCTCCCACTGCGACCCTGGAAGGTTCGGGAACGACCGACCAGTCTATCATCGTCTACCCATTGGTTGAGGATCCCCTATTAAAATACACACCCAGATGTGTTCTGACTGCACGCGAATGTGTTGAATTCCGGAAGGAACCCTCATGCCGTTTGGGTAGATCTTCCCCTCGGCAATGATTGAGACCCTATACTGCTTTCAAAAACGTGATATATAATCTGCTACATTATTTTTTAAACCTCCCGACATGCATATCAGTAATATTTTTCGAGTATTTTCAAGTTGTGGAAATTCCAGGTATCAGAAGCCCGAAGAGAAGAACAGAATGGACATTGCGGCAGCAGCGGCAGAGACTGCGGACAGCAAGAAGCGGCGGAAGAGGCGTACTGTAGCAGTGACTGGGATGGATTCATCTCGTTGACGGGGTGAATGAATTGAAAGTGCATTCTTGAGGACCGTTTTTGCTCCCCTAGGACCACAGTACTGGCAGATCCAATCTGAGCATCACATCGTTCCGCTGCTATGTACTCCCCAATTTCACACCTTCAAGACAGCCTCGGGCGGAAACCGGAAACCCATGGGTTTCCTGAAAGCAATACTGTACCATTATATAATGTTATAACTTATTACAGTCAGTGTATTACAGTATATAAACATGTGTATATATATATATGTATATACAATATATTAATCTATATTAATCTATTACAATCCCACGAGTCTATCCATTACTACGATAGGTTAGGCAAAACCCTCACTCAGATCGGTGACTCTGTCATGGATCACCTCAGTGGCTGAGGCAAAAGAGATGCCTCAGTTGGAGGAGCTGGCGCATGCCACAGAGGAGGGGATGGCTGGACTGAAGTGTTGTGGAAAAGATTCCAAACCAAATCTCCACAATGTCTTGGACATGGTTTTGCACTCTACTTTCTGCCTCTGCAAGTTGATTATGGTGTGACTGGTTGAAGATGTTCACTATCGGGGCCAAATCTCCAATGAAGAGGTGAACGGATGAATCAAACGTGGTCCCTTTGAAAGAACAATGACTGCAGTAATTCCTTCCACCTATTAATTGGGGTCGTGTTTCAATATGTTAAATAGGTACTTGGCATTCGTAGGCTTTTAGATATTATGGATGATCGCCCTGTCGCGATTGCAGGAGACCTTGGTCGATGTCTTGGGCTTCCCAGAGCCTTGGATGGATTTGTTATTTTTTGGACCAGACCAAATGTGCATGAACCTCGCTTGCTTGCGGACAGGTTTGGCTTTTGTATGCCTTTCTATCAAAGTGACGAAAGCGCATTTTTTGCTGTTTGGGCCAAACACGCCTCTGAAAGAATTGTCAAACAAGAGTAACAAGAGGTAGGTTTCTTGATAGATTGGCCACCGTACTTGTGCTCGCCAAACCCTTCCGGACCTCGCCAACCATGGCTGGTCTTCTTCGGCACATGGCGTGAGCGCAGCCCACGACACACACGCAGCCTTGGCGTGAGCGCGCCTGGCAGCCTGAGAGTGCCGAAACGACTCCCCCAGCCCAAGGAGCAGGAAGCCAAGCACTTCGCCATGCTCAACGAGGAGAGCAAGCAGAGACTTAACTCGAAGGGCTGCTGAACTGGACCGATGAAAAAAATAACCCTGTGGCTCTTGTCGGACTGTCAAGCTTAGAACATCTTAGAACCGAACCAAGGAAAACGCAGGTGTGGCACACCGATTTAGTTAGTAAAGTCAGGAAAGGATGGAAAGGTGGTTTCAGTGAGTTTATATACACATAAAGATGCCATCCACTTTTGAACCAATCCGGTGGTGTAATTGACAAAATTATATACACATCTGATCTGTATCAGTGATTAGAGAGTTGGGCGAGTGGGACGGTTTGAAAGGCATGATTTGGAGTTGCAGGTGGAACGTTACAGTCTCTGTCGTTTTCAACTGCTTTGGAACGAAGAGGAGCCGGTTGTAATCCCATGCGAGACAAATCTTGCTCAAGTGGAGTCTACAGCAAATGATACATGCAAAGTGGTTTCAACAATGTTTCAAATGCCTTTGTGCAGCCTTTTTTGTTTTGAAACTCCACGCTTAGAGTAACATTTGCCGTCTGAGTCACTGAGGAGAGTCATCACCGAGTGTCGGGCCTTGATTGACATGTCCCCTCTCGAACGACAAGAAGCTTTCGAGAAGCTCCGGAAAGCCTGGCCGCGAGGACCGCTTCTGGCGGGAAAGAAGATGACAGGGAGCCAAGGAAAGGCGTACCACAAGAAAGGTGAAGATGGGGTGATGTAGATTCATGTCACGTTTTTTTTAAATTAGGGAGGGTGTTTAAATTAGTAAGTTGTCTATCCATCTCGTGCCAGCAAATCAGACATTGAGACACCATCCACACATCAGGGGAAGCTGGGGTAACAATAAATCGCCTAGCAATAGAGGAGCTGGTAACTGGTGGCGTATTCTATGAGCTTTTGAGGTTGCCGTCAAGCCATCAAGCCAGTTGGAAGGTTCTGAAGTGACGTGTATGATCGTGTATGGACAGAATTCAGAATATCATCGAATATAGATCATATTATATAGAAGAATATAGAAGATTTGTTTCATCCAGGGTTTACACTGTACACATCAGCAGGTCACCTTAGTCCTTGAAGCAAAAAGCTGCTTGGAAGGACCTTTTCCCAGCTTCGCGAAGCCCTCCGAGAATCTTCCTCCAGTCAGCAACTTGATGCAGGGGTTCGATGCCTGAAAGCCACTTCGCGAGCTTTTGTGTCGTCACATTGGGAATCATTCTTTGGGAATGAACATCGAAGCGGTTGCCACTTGTTTTTGAATGCCTTGAAAGGCGGATGACTCTTACCGCTAGTTGTATGATGAGGTTGGGGGCCAGAACCAATTTCTCATTCCGCTGCAGGCAACAACTTGCTCCCACGCGGCACGTGCTTCCCTTTGAAGCGGCCCAGCATGAAGACACCCGCGGTGTCCCAGCCTTTGGCTTCAGCATTAGATGGGAAGCCCGGCTTTTTTGCACCACAGCCCTTGAAGAATGTGCCGGAACAGAAGACGCTGAGCGGCAATGCTGCATAGACCTTTCTCTCTGGGGCGGCAAACTGCTGTGACTGAAAAAGTAAACAAGCAAGCCCAAACAAGCACTGGCTCTAGCATGCTGCGGTGGCATTGAACTAAATTTGCAATTCCCAGCCTCCCAGCTTCAGTGTCATCCCCTTGATCTCCTGCCGTTGAGGAAAGCCCTGCAGAGCTTGGCGAAGGCAGTCACTCCAGACCCCTCACAGGAGGTGGCTTGCGACCCGTCCATTGCCTTGATGGATCTCTGTCGTCTTCCACAGGCCAAGGCAGCCCCCGAGAAGATCTCCAAGACGGTCGCTTGGAGTGGAGGTAGACACCGCCGGACATAGCGGGGAAAACAATAAACACTGGACAACGAGATGAAACAGCCGGACGACGGACGGGCTTTTTGCGGGCAGAGACATGCAGAGACCGAAGAACACCCGAAAAAGAGCAGACCCCCTGTGCTGAAGGACGACATAGACTAAAACCATACTAAACATTCTATAACCATCCTGTGCGGTTGGATTCTGCTTGGCCGATCTCTGTCACTCTCTCTCTCTCTCTTTCTCTCTCCGTCCGAATCAGCACGTTCGCCGGTGCAAAATCTCTCTTGCGCCATCTTCGTCGTGCTGTGCAGGCTTGGGGGACGGCAGGCTTGGGACCACACCCAGACAAGTGGAGATAGTGGCTTCGCTCTGTAGATGACTAGGGGGATCGGAGTGGTCGCGAAAAGAAGACATGGGATTTTGCTGAGACTCGGCCCAGGTCATCACCAAGGGCAAGCTCAGCTCTGTGGACGTCGCCATCTATCTAGCAAGCGAGATGAAGACGCTTGTCTGGAGACGTTTTCGTCCTGCGGACGAAGGAAGTGTACACTTCTCTTTGTACTGTAATTACTACTTGTTTGGGACCGTTTGCGTTTCTGAACCACCATCACAGCAGGTCACCACTTTCTGCCTCTCAGCCATATCTTAAGCCACATCCCCACATGCCATCACATGCCGCAAGCTGTTAGCTTTCGTGTTCTGTCTTCGAGCAAGGACCCGCCCCATCCTGCTGGACAGTGGCCCGGGTGCAAAGTTGCGTTCGGCCAAGCTCAGCGAGGCCGACTTCCGCGGCGAGCGCGCCAAGGTGCTCCGGGACTCGGCGCCGCAGTGGCTTGGATGAGTGGAGGAAGAGGAATAACCGTGTAGGGACATGACATGTCACTGTCAAGACATGTTAAGACAATGAAGAACAGAACAACTTGCATGTGAAAGAAACATGTTGCTTGGAGTATGACACAATGTTTACTGGATGAGGGTGATATGAGAAGGGGGCAGACAAGGCAACCTGTTTTGCTGCTTGAACAGAAGACAATAGCCAGAGGATGTGATGGATTGCAGAACAACTGGCGGTCGAGATGAGATGGGCTCAGCATGGCTCATCCAGGTGCCCGATTTTGTTTGTTTGGCTAGGTGGTTGAACGTGTAGGGGATCATCCAAATGAAAGGATGTTCAAGACCGTGGATGCCACCATGCCATAGCCGGTGAAGACTCATGAAGACTCCTTTCCGACTCCACCCTCCCGGTGTTTTCGGCCGATTCCCGGGCGGACCTCGTCTCGGATTCGTCAGCGGAGTCGTTGGAACCGCGACGATTCAGGATGGGCAACCTGGACCTGCTGACCTTGTCCAAGCCCACTTTGGTCGCTGAAACACATAAGGAGAGCGCACGTGGCACAGCGGCCATGTCGGTCGGTGGAACATCGGTGATTGATGGCCAGTCCGTCGTTGATAGCAGGAATTCTGGTTTGAAACGCACCAGTCTGGTTGAGAAAACATGTGCAGTTGCCCTTGGCCTTTGCATGTTTGTTTGGTCGAAACCAGTCGTTTTGACATGTCGTGACAGCAACACTTCGGCTGTGTTTCAAGTGCGAGTAGATTCCTTCATTCATGTTGCAAGATTGCTGCATTGGTGTGACTTCCGGCCATGAAACCGCGACCCAATCTGACCCAATCTTTGTCCATCATGAAACTGGGCAATCAAAGGCAATCAGGCCCTGCAGTTGTTGATATAGTTGTTGGTTTCTTTCATTGTTGTTTCAGGTTCCATCCTTGACTTGGTGACTTTGCAAATATTTTACAGACCTCCCCCACCATGGACTGCATGCTTTTTCCTGCGCGGCGCGATTCGCAGAGTTCGGTGCTGAAGAGGACTACTTGAAAGCGGGCGTTGACATTTGCTGCACCAACACCCTCAAAGCGAATGCTTTAGCTCAGAAAGAGTGTCTAGGCGGCAAACAGAGCTGAGCACCGAGTATGCCACTTCATCAATTATAGTTATACAAAACATACTTTTGATTGCCTTTTTTTTGGGTTCCAGGCTATACCAGGCTGCCTTTCCATACACTTTTGATCGGGGCGCAGCTCTGTCCATCACGCAGGTACAAGACAGCCAAGCTCGTATCTGAGATGAACAAGTCAGCCGCTTTGCAACCTGGCAGGAAGTGACCTTCACAGGAAGTCTTCAATGGTTTCTTTTGACCATTCAAAGTGACGCATTTCAAACATTGCCCAAGTAGTTGAAACTAGAAGACATAGTTCATTCTTTTAGGCTCTAGTCCAGCACAGCTGGAGCTTTCAGCTTGGTACCAAGAGGAACTTCGCACCCCTTCGCCTTGGCTTGTTTGTCTCCTGTGACTCCCTGAGCAAACAAACTAGAGTGAATGGACCCAAGCAAATCGAGATGCGATCCAAACCATCATGAACCATCGAGATGCCATGTCTCTCATGGCTCCTGGCCCGCCCACTCTCGAGGGTTCAATCTTGGCCTGAGGTTGGCCAAGCGTGCTGCCTCAGAGGTAACCAAACTGGATATCAAGAAGCCACGCTTGGTGGCTGGTTTGGTTGGGTCACTTGGTGCTCACAAGTGGCGAAGTTGACGAAGTGCTCACAATGGTTTGGTTTGGTTTGGAAGTGGATTTGGCTCCACTGTACAGACTAGATGGCGTGTTTGGCTTATTTCGGCTTGTTTGTCTAGAAGACCTTTGCGTCTACAAGGTAGGGTGAGAGTTGCCGCGGCCCCCCAAGTGTCTTTGGGTGTGAAGAGGCATTTCACACTTTCTCTCGCGTTCACAAGACCGATGTGCGTTTCGCCAAGACCGTGTGAAGCTCGCACGAACTTCGATGACATGGTCGATGCTTACAGTGAGCAGATCAAGGGCTTGGCCGAAGGAGGAGTCAAAGGGTTGAGATGAGAATTTGGTCTATCAGGGGGTTTTGTATGGTTGTGTCATTATACGTCGTTGATAATGATGTAGCCTTGGGGAAAAAGGATTGCAATCTGCTCACACAACATTCATGATATCAGAAATCACGTGACGATGCTGCTCTTGTGTTCATTTCAACGGGTCCAGATGACTCTGCATTTGCCATGACTGTGCATACAGTACAGCTTTTGCTCAGGAGTTGATTTGCTGGCACTTGAAATGTACGATGCGCGAAGTGCTAAAGCTGCCATCTATGCGAGTGGAGAAGTTTACAAGCAATTGAAGCAACGAGTTCCACCATGTATCATCCACGTCCCTTGGATTGTTCTTCAGGCCTCGTTTGTTTCAGAAACGTCCTCGGTTTCTGGTGACAGAAGATGACGGCGACATGCTTGCAAAGACGAAAAGGGTACCCTCTGACTCACTAACATGGAAGTGGAAAATGGGCCCTTGGAAGACTACTTTCCTCTACCAACAAGGGGTTTTCCACTTCCATATTAGTGAGTCAGAGTGTACATCGTTGTGTTGCAGCTCAAGTGCTGGCAGGTGGTTAAACCATTTCAATAAGAAAGAGACTCAAGTCCATGGTAAATGGTTTAATTGATGTTTATTGATGTTTGTTGTGTGTATTGCTTTCATGCTGGATAAACACTTCCATCATTGAGTGCACACACACAAACACAAACACAAACACAAACACAGTGCGTTATATGACGAAGTTCCAACGAGCCATAGAACCGAAACCATTGACCGTTCACTCTACATCTTGGATCAGTTTAGCCATGTTAATTCCTTCACTGGTCGCCATACGTCGAGGTTCACGTCGACCCGAAAACGGGTCGCACCTTGGGTGGTCAGAGCGCCCATGCCTTCTATGTGAGCGTCAAACACTGTCGTCCGTTGGCGGTGGGCATCGTGGGTGGTGCAGCCTATGGGGACCTGGCCAAAGCGGGCAGCTTCATTGGGATGAAGTCAGGCTGTGCTTCGCGGGACAGTCCGTGGGTCTTTTGATGGTCTTGGTGTTATTTTTGAAGCACTGTCTCAGGGGATAGACCTGTTGGTAGATGCTGAATCATGTCCAGGTCTACTTAAGTCTACTTGAGGTTGTGTTTGGTGGTTCCTAGTTTTTTGAAGAGTTTCTATGAGTTTCTCGTTTTGTGCATAATTACTTCACAGACTTGGCTTTTCTTCGCATAGACTGGGCCGCTATAAACTCGGTCGATGTCGGCGCCGCGGTGCCTTCTGTGCCAACTCGGAGGCGAAGCTGAGCTCAAGGGGCTGAAGGAGACACAGAGGGGCCTTGTGGTAGACCGAGTGGGTCGCGTAGACCGAGAAACACCTTCACTTTGAGGTAGTTGTTCTATAGATACTACAGTCTTTCCTTTTTGTATTCCTTATGTATTTTGACCATAAAGTGGCTCAAGAGCATATGGACGCCAGGCAACCCACTCTTTGGTGGGTTTTCAGAGGCTGCACCTGTTTGCGATGGGAACGTTTGTCTGGAACCCACATACTGCGTTCCATGTTCTGCCTGCGTTCCATGTTTTCCCTCACCCTGGATCTGCCCCTTCTTCTCCCACTTCCTTTTCGGCACACCCCGTGTTCCGGGTGACCGGGTGGAACAACCCACCCGGACCAGTAAGCGGAACGCCGAGCTTCACAGCACACCGAGCGGGCGGAACCAGGAGCTGCCGAACTTCGTGGGCCTCACCGAGGGGTTGCCCCAAGCCTTCTCAACCTTGGCGGCCCTGAAAGGGCCCACGCGGAGCCTTCCTGAGGTGGGGCCGGCAACGGGTTTTCTGAGGATGGAACGAAAGGGAGGGGACGAAAAGGAAGAGAAGAGACCTGGAGAGTTGTGTGGACGCTGCCGATTTGCTGGCTTTTCGAGTTGGTATGGTTGCTACGCTCAAAAACTGGTAACTGAAGCCGTGAGCGGTATGGTTGCTATGCTCAAAAACTGGTAACTGGAGCCGTGAGCTAGAGGCCTAGAGGCCATAGCTGCCATAGCTTTAGCAACGGGCATTCACCTTGCATGACCAGATCAAGAATTCATCCACCTGCCACCCACCACGGTTTGGTGTTTGAACGCACCGGGCTGGTCTGCCCATGTTCGTTTCTGACGACCTGGTCTCGATTTGTCACGCTGGTTCCGAAGGTCAGCACAAAGCTGATGGTTTCCGGGCTGGAGAGCCACACCGTGGACAGCTTCACGCTGGTCGGACAGCGTGGAAGCACACGGGCCTATGGAGTGCTGGCTGAAGAAAGGTGGGGACAACGGATCTGAAGGATTTGAAGGAGCTGGGACTCAAGGAACCTGTCAATCCGATTCAATCCCAACCTGAAGTACTTTTGCAGGACTCTTCTAGATGGGAAGGAAGGGAAGGATACTGTATATAGATTTGCTCTCAACCAAGATGATAATCTCGCAGCTCATGGCTGCATCTTATGCACAGCTGAGCCTGTCAACGGAGGATCCCCCCAAAGCAACGTGAATCGTTTTGACTTTTGTCAAAGTCATGAGTCATGATTGACAAACATTGACAGTACTAAGACGAAGCCACCTGAGTATGTTTTGACAGAAGCAACTTGCGGGCTTCAAGGTGGAGCATGTGCAGTCACCAACAATCCTCTATCACAGATTGTGTTGTCGAAATGCAACGAGTTTGCATATTACACAATTACATTATAGTACAAACAAATACACGTATCTACCAGTTTCCATGTTGATTTGTTGTTCTCCAAGGAAAGTTCAAGGAGCTCATGGACGATTTCAAGTCCAACGGACGCCATTGTTCCTTGCCACTCGGCAGCCCTCGTCGCTGTCTCTTCGCGTCGACGGACGGGAACGGCGCGGAACGGAGCTCGGCGGAACGGTGCTCGTTCGCGGACGCCCGAGGTCCAAGGCAGTGGACCTGTGCGCTTTGGACTGTGAGAGCGGTGCGGACATCCTGGACACTCAGCAGCACGTGGTCAGAGAAAGGTGAGGCCCATGGTGATCATGGTGATCATTGTCGATCATATTGATCAAGCATGTGTCGGCCAAAAAGTACAGTAGCGATGGAACCCCAGCCTTGTCCTACCAACTAGGGCAATATGATGTACCAAGTGACTTATGTGTCTCAGAAGAACACAGCAGAGCATTGAGACAAACCTTGCTTGCAGTTTCATGCAGATAACGCGGCAGTAATGTTAACATGCAATTAAAACACTTGCTGTATTCAAGCAGCATTGGACTTGGAAGAAATCATGTGAATGTATAATGTATCCTGTGCATGATCCAGAGTTCTACCAAAGGGCTGCTTTAGTACTACAGGACATTTGCGTGGATGGTATTGCAAATGATGGCAGCAATCGTGGCAGCAAGACCCTCATGAACAAGTTCACGACTCTTTGCGATTCAGATGCCAGAGTGGCAAAAGCCCCCCTTTATGCTTTGCTCTTCGGATATGAAGGTTGTCAAGGAAGGCGCATCGGGGCCAATCTGATTGAAACATGTTCATCACGGGACTGAATCAAACTTAGGACACCTTGGGTTCCCCTTGTGACTTTTAAGATCTTTTAAGTATAACAGAGCAACACACACACAATCAGAAGAGGTTGTTACCTCATTTTTTGTAGTCTCAACAAACAAGTGCTCAAATCAGTGCAGTCTGGTGATCAAGAACCTTTGCATGCCTTTGATGTGACCCATGTTTGTGCCGTTCACGAGAGGTTTGGGCAATCTTCAGGGCCGGTGCATTGTCAACGCCCTTTGCTTGATGGTTGGCGAAGACGAGTTCCTCCAACTGGCAAAGGAGTGTCTTCAGTCGCTTTCGCTTTCGGAGTTTCTCAGAAGTGTAGTGTAGTGGGGTTAACACCAGGATTTGAGAAAAGATTCCAAGATGTGCGTCTTTGATTTGAGGAGGTAATGAAGTATGGTGCAGCCCTGGTGGTCATGGCCATTGGAGAGCAAGGCCGTGCAGTGACAGCCAAGGACAAGGCACCGTGGCGGGCTGTGGCTGGTGTTCCTCCTGTAAACTGAACGCATGTGAACAAATTCACGGCGGGCGCACTTGCGGTTCCTTGGTTGCTCACGCGTTTCATTTGTTTGATCAGATGAGCTACTCATGACACACCCTGAACTCCCATATTCAACAAGGGTTCGTCATGCGCTCCGACCAGTGCTCCAGACTGAACCGTTGCCCGGGCAGGTAGAGGTGCTCCAGCGAAGCTACCGGCTATTGCGACAGAAGCTGGACTTTCCTCCAGAGGACATCATCTTGGATTGTCATTTGCAGACACTGCGGCATGATGAGCATCCATCTGAGGTTCCTTGTCGAAGACCTCAAAACTGTGAGCTATGATTCAAGATGTGGGTGAAAAACAACAGAATGTCTCCTGTTCCTACGAACAGGCACAAGTTGAACGTCCGCCACCCATCTGATCCGGAATGTCCTCTTCATGTCATTTTGGCAGTCTCCAAGAGATTACCCCATATCAATGTGCATGCTACGTAACTCCACACCAAACGAATCTCAGCTTCCGTTCACAATCGTCCTTTCTGATCCTTTCTGCAATTGGATGCCAACGTTGCATCCGTATGCCGTTCTTTGTTTTTGGAGCCGGTGATGCACATGGAGCCGGTGATTTCCCCATGTTCGGACACCGGGTGGACGGCCCAACCAGGTCATGTCCGCCATCTCCGAGCTCAAGCGTAGCTGCCCTCGCGCCAGCTTGACGGTGGGTCTCAGCATCCTGGTTGAAATTTGATTGATTCTGGAAAAAGATGCTCTTGTTTCTTTTGCGAAAAGTCTCAAACATGCAGGCCCAAGCAGTTGTGGTTTGCTGTTTTTGTACATGTTTTGGTGCAACACAGAATGGCTGTTTGTTGCTGCAGCATTTTGAAGATCCGAAAACATCTCCAATACCATCCAATACCTCTGTCTCGGTATGCGAATTCATTTGTTCATCCAAATCCCTTTGCATGCCTCAGATTGGAACTCCAGGCAACCTCAGCGCAGCCTTTGGACGCCTTGGAAAGCTTCGAGAAGCCTTGCACAGCACCTTCTTGCAACATGCCATTCCCAAGGGCTCCTTGGCACGCCAGCAGTGTGGTGGTTGATGTGTTCTTGCCTTTAGACCAAGAGGTCAGCAAGCCACGGCCAAGCCATGGTGGTTGACCACACGGTCCGCACGACGTCGCCAAAAAAAACGGCTGAGAAATGGGGATCACTTGCTCGTCGCTATATCCAATGCATCAACAGCTGTGACAGGAGATACGCCTGGATTTACTTGGATTCCTCCCCACTGTTCGCTTGCTTTCTCAGGTCTCAACATGGCCTTGGCTCCTGCTGGCCGTCTTCCTTTGTATGCGGAGCTGGAGCAAGAGACCAGGCAGGTCTGTGAAGATGTGATCCTGAACAGCAAAAAGGATGAGACGCCGCTGAAGCGCTTCATGGCCTTCCTGAACTTCCGCAGCTCGGACGGGACGGTGCCGGATGGGGCACTCGGCCGCCGGAAAACCGTTCGCGGAACCGGCCGGAACAGCGAAGCACCGGGGTGTCGAGCGAAGCACCGGGTGGGGTGAGTCATTTCCCAGACACGACACATGGGACTGCCATATATGCCTACATTATTCTACATTGGGGTGGTTGACTGGGGGTCAATGGGGCGGCATATATGACAGTCCCATGGAGTGTCTGGGTTTCAGAAAAGGGATTGACTTTCGGAGAGCCGGGATGATGTCTATCCGGGGACTGAGCTTGACCATCACAGCCCGGCGGTTTGATGGTCCTGCGGCGACGAACGGAGCGGCGGCCAAGAACCGGACAAATCGGTTTTGATTTGACCCAAAGCAAAGCTGGGCATGTATTTTAAGAGGAGACCTCCCCCACATCGATGGTGGATACTTCCTTTACCATTGGTCTTGTTTGGTCTCTGTTTCCACCTGCTGTCCAATGATGTCAATTAGGGTTCCTAATTGATCAAATGCCAGTGCCCACTGCAGTTGGTCAACCATGGAATGCAGCATT